CCCCGGTGAAAAAGACAGTATTGTGCTTCGGTGTGTCAACAGTCATGTGGATGTTTCTGAATTTGCCTGCCACCAGGAAAAGGAGCAGCAATTACAACGGAAGTCCAAAGTCCCTGCAGCCAGCAGCTTTGATCAGGCTGGGAGCCCGCGCGACGTGCCCCATACACCGAACCAGCTCAGGGCGCTTCTCGTTCCCTCGCTCCCCTCAGCTTGCCCTGCCTGGAGCTCTTGCTACAATTAGCCCCGAGGTAGGAGGGACGGCTGGAGGGTTCAGGACCAGCTCGAAATGTTTTCCATCCTTGGACCCAAACTCGAATGCTAAACATTTCTAGCATTCAAAGAGGGTTTGTCTGAGTTCCCCGGCGTTGCCCTCCTGGTCTCAGATGGCAGCAGAAGCAGGGGAGCCAGGACTCTGTAAGGAGAAACTCTCCCAGACAAGACTCCTGGCCCAGCGCAGGCTGGTGGGGACCGGGCGCCCCTGAACGAACTGGCCAAACTCCTGTGTGCCCGTGCGACGCCGGCCACAGGGCTCCGGAAGGCTTGGCTGTTACAAGTGGGGATGAGGTAAGGCCGGGCCCCCTTCTTTTGGAGCAAAGCGCAGGGCATGGCACCGGCAAGGCAGTGGCTGGAGAGCAGAGGCGGGTCGCCCCCGGGGAGGGCAGCCCCTGGCAGGGCTCCTGAGGCCACCAGGAACGCTGCCTGGGGAGCACGTGGCGCCCGGGACAACTCGCAGATTGAATGTGATTCCAAATTGCAAACTAGGTGACAACCGAGAATCTGATGCCCCTTGATAGAAAACGCCTTCTGTTCATACACGCATGGCCACCAGCCCGGTAGACGCAGCACCCGAGGGCGCCGCACCGGGTGCGCCAGACCTCCAACGGTGAGCTGACCCAAACCCAGCACTTGCGACGAGAGCGCCGAGGGGCGGCCCAGGGGAGCTCTGTCAGGAGGACGCGAGCCATGCCTCTCTGGGTTTCTGCCGTCTGGAAGCATCCAGGGCTGGCAAAACCATGCCAAGGCAGCAAGGTAGACGAGTTAGGCCTTTTGCGATGCTAAGTAAAAAAGAGATCTCAAGAATATAGAAAAGTACCGTAACATGTGCGGGACCAAATCCCTGCCGGTGCAAACCTCCCTTGGGGGGTGCTCCTCGGACTCTGACGTGTGCAGGGGCAGCCGGGAGGCGCTGCTGAAACACAGCCTCTGGTTTGGGAGTCCTCGGTAGGGCCCAGGACGCTGACTCCTGCCAGGTCCCCGCGGGACGCCCATGCTGCGCACCCACGGCCCGGACCCACCCCACCCCGGAGCAGGGAAGCAGCGAAATCCTAATATGTGAAACAATGATCCTCAAATAGCATGTCGTATCATTCGACAGCGTTCATCTGAGGAGTTGCTTTTCTTCTTTGTTTTTCTTTTCGATCCTGTTTCCCCATAGAGCAGTGCCTCTTCGTCTAGAGAAAGGTTAGGAAAAAGAAATGCTGAAACTCTTGTCTGGCTATACAGTACATTCTCATGGTGACTTAAATGTGGATCGAACCTTTATCTGGAGGAGCAAGAGCTGTGTGCCTGCAGCAGGTGAGCCCTGGGGCGGACACCGTTGTGGGGTCCGGAAGGGCCACCTCCCAGGGCTGGGCCTGCAGGACCCTCTGTTATTTAAAACCGAGATCAGGTCATGGTCTCTCCATGAAGCCCTGGTGCCCATGTCACGGTTTAATCGCTGTCTCTGAGGTCGTCGTCATCGTGACACAGAAGTTTCTGGATCGCGCTTCTTGGGGAACAGAGATTTAGAAGATGAAAATGTGTGCCGTGGGGAATTAGACAGCACTGTCCTCCTGGGACCCCAGGCTACACCCAGCGTTTCCGGGGACCCTCTTTGGGGTCCACTTTCTGGCCAGAGCCCCCCCGTGCAATAGACGTGTTTGGGGCCGGTGCTCAGCAATCATGGAATGAAGACGCCCAGCAGGAATGTTTTCGTTGGACGGGCCTGCACACAGAACCCTGCGCATTAATTATAAGGTTATGCAACTATGCATCTTTCCACCTCGGCTGGTATTTTTATAGAGCCATTAAAAATGACACCTGAGCTGACCGCCGCCCCCACCCCCAAGTGACATGTGAAAGCTGCAGCCAATCTGAGTGAGGACGAACACTTCCATCCGAAGGCTTGGCAAGGCGGCGGTCGGCTGCAGCCGCTCCGTGCGGCTCCCAGGGCTGCAGCCCGGGCTCTGAGTCACTCGCAGGAAGCGGGGCACAGGGTGTGGGTCACTGCACAGGCTCGCAGGCTCCCGGGCAGCCCCAGCTCGGCCGGCGCTGAGTGCTCTCTAGGCGGCTCATTGATGACATACGTGTCTTTTCGTCTGGGCCTCCTGAGGAAGTGGGAAGGCCAAGTTCGCCAGCAACCGGCTGAGTCTTTACTTACTGTCATGACTCGGAGGATGCCCAGAAAGCCTCCAACTGTCACCTCCCCGGGCTGTGAACTTCTGTTGTGGCTGCTGTGGCAGATAAACCAGAAGAAGACAGCACAGGCCGGCGGCCGGGCCTGCACACTCTGCCCCCTGGTGCCCCATCGAAACCCCGGCCTCGCCGATGACAAACAATTGCAGCGTAAGGTGAGGCCTCGGCAAACCCCAGCCTGACCCACAGTCACGTCTCCACCGACCGGTTCTACGAACATTCCACTGGGAAAGAGACATGGCCGGCGGAAACTAAGCCGGCAGGGACAGGCCAGGGACGCGGGCTCTCGGCTAACACGTCCGCCCCTCCCACCCTGCATCTGGACACCTCAGGCCGAAAGCATCAGGGGCTTTCTAGAATGAAGCATGGGCGGCACTTCTGCATCGCCCCTTGCATTTCTCAGCCGTTAGTAAGTCTGAGCCGCCTGCGAGGTGGCAGCTGCGTGTCCGAGCCCTCAGCTGTCAGGACCCTCCCGGGGAGGGGTGAGAGGAGAAGGGCAGGGATATGCTGGGGGAGGGGAGGCCGGCGGGGGCCTGAACGCAGCCTTCGTAGGGACCACCGCGCGCAGCGTCCTAGCAACGGGCCTGACATGTGGATGTCAATAAACTTCACAAACACACACACCGGATGATTCTCGTCCGTGCTAATAAGGTGTCGGCGTTGGGCAAGCCTGCTTCGCACAAGTCTGGGAGAAAGCAGACTCTTGAGTTTCGATTCCTGCTTTAGTCAAAACAGACGTAAGTAAAAATCCTGCCTGCGCCTTCAACAGCACCTGTGCCATTTGCCCTCGAGCACGTTGCTGCGGTGGCTGTGGGCGAGACGCAGAGGGAGGACAGCGCCGAGGGGCTCTCCGGGCCAGGCGTCGCGAGGGCCTCTGCTGGACGCCACGGAGCTGCCGGCCGCCCAGGGCCGGCTTCCTGGGGCTCCCGGTCTCCCAGTTTCTCTGGGACGCGTGGGCTGAGGCCCTCTGTGTCCAGGGCACTGTGGAGGATGCACATGGAGCCCAGCAAAGCAAGTGTATTCATTAGGGAAGGACAGCCTTGCTTGACCTTGGAAACCTAAAAAGAACAGTATTCTCTTCGTGGGCAGGAAGAAGAAAGAAATGTGTGTGCCCAGAGAGGCTTGCCCACATGCAAAGTTCTCCCATTTTCAGCGCCTCCAAGTAGGCCTGTCCCCTTGCTGAGGTGGAGGACGGGCTAGACCACACCCTGCAGTCAGTCCCCCGGGACGGGCTTGCTCCGGAGAAGCCTTTCTGCTCCCCGCCCCCTGCCCTGCACCAGCCCCCCACTGCTCGCCCAGTGCAGCTTCTGCGCACGGGACACACGACCTCCAGGGGCGACTTGGCCCGTGGGCCCGAGCGGAGCAGAGGAGGGTGAGGCAGGACCTCTCACAGGTGGAAGCAGAAAACAAGTCTACAGGGCAGCCCCTGCTTCTGCCCAAAATGCAAAACTTCACTTTCTTTTTCTTTAGCTGCCTAATCTGAGCATGTGTGCGTGTGTGTGCAGGAGAGAACAACGATTTTCTCTCTCTACTGAAAAGATGTCCGCTTAGGAGGAATAAAACCGCATAATTTTTTGTATTAAAAATGGTCTTTTCATATTGAAGTTAAAGTACTTTCCCTCTTTTAGGTTCTGAAATACCAGTAAGTCGCTAGAACCTTTTGGGGATCAGACTGTCACCGAAACACTTCTTTCGCTTTTCCTCCCCCTTGTACGGTCTCACGCCGTCCCAGCCTTTGCCGGGGGCTGACCGCTCAGAGGCTGATGGCCGGCACCCCCAGCGATGGCACCCACATCCTGTCTGAGCAGCAGCCTGGTGCCGGGGTAGAATTACTATCGAATAAGCAGCAATGAAATCTTAATCAAAATAATCAGTAGTTCCCCAAACCACAAATAACAACAACAGGACCCGCGTTGCCCTACATCAGCAAAGACCATTGATGGAATAAGAGACTGAGTCACTTTGTGCTACAGTCGCTCTCTCCCAAAGTCAACTCGGCTTTTTTCTTGCACAGCCGCGGGGGTGAGGGGGGGCGAGGGGGGGCAGGAGGCAGGTGGAGGGGAAGGAGGGCATTGCTCAGAAAGTAAAAAAAAAAAAAAAAAAAAAAATTGACCTCATTGAGGTCACATGATTGGCAAGAACCAATTAAGAGGCGCTGTGGAAAGGGGAACAGTTAAATTTGTAATTTGGGTTGTGTGAAAACTTCTTTGGGCCCATAAACAACCACAGAACCACAAGTGGGGTAGGCTGGCAGTGCCGGGAGGCGACGCCGGCACAGTGGTCAGCAGGCAGGACGAATCACACGGGCTGCAAACCACAGGGTTTCGCAGGGTGGTGAACATCATCAACCCACAGCCAAGACACCGCTTTTTTTTTTTTTAATCTTGAACAATTTGAATATCTGTTTTCGCAAAGGTACATTTTTCATAGGACTCGGGGAGCCCCAGAGGAGTCGAGGGGAAAAAAAATAAAAGAGATGTAGGGGGCTGTGGCTGCAGAGGGCGGTTCAAACAATGACCTTTCTTGGTTTTCGCTCCTAAGGTAAGAAGAAATCAGTGACTCCCCCGCCTTCCGAAGAGGGTGCATTTTCAGGAGGAAGCCATGGCTTCAGACAGCGTATTTGAGTCATTTCCTTCATATCCCCAGTGCTTCATGAGAGGTGAGTACACGCTGGTCTTTTAAATCTGCTTTTGCTCAGCTTTGTGGAGAATGTTGTAACTTGGTGCAGATAGCCAGCCGGTTCCCCGTCTGTCTGGTGGGAGGAATTCAAACTCAGGCTTATGATTACAAGGCTATTGGATTACTTATTCATCAGACGACAGCTCTTCAGAAACGTCTGAATAAATAGTTAAGCTGTTGAAGTGTTAGTCGGTGCACGAGAACTTTGGCAAGTGCAAGCTCGTTGGCCTGCTGCTGGCTAGAGTCCTGCAGATTGTGCAGCCTGCGTGGCGTTCCCTGGGTTTTATTGTTGCTGTCCCTCGCCGGAGTGGCAGCGGCTGAGTTATCCTGAGCTCAGCATGCTCTGTGGCCCCCGGGCCAGGCAGCCGGGGGCCGAGAGCTGCCTGCAGCCCTGGCCGGCAGGACTGGCCAGCGTGAGGCGGAGGCAGTTCACGGACGTGCGTGAAACCAGCCAGGGACTTCAGGGCCGGGGCAGCCACGCGGACGTGCCCGGAACGCAGAGAGCGCCGAGCCGGGCTGACGGGCCCGGGCGGAAAGCATTGGGCTGCGGTTGTGTGTTGCTCCTTGTGGTCTCAGGGCAGAGGCAGCCAGCATCTCTGAAGCGAGAAAGGAAGCAAGCTGTGCACAGAGCGAGCTCTCTCACGAAGAGCAACAGAGACGCTCCCTAAGCCAAGCGCTGTCGCCCCGAGGTTGTTAGAGCACAGCCTCCCGAAGGGCATGGCTAGTGTGGGAACCCTACCTGCGCACTCGCAGCCCGTCCCCTGAAACGTGCAGGGCAGTGGAGGTGAGCTGTGAGAGTGTGTGTGCGCGCGCGCGTGTGTGCGCACGCACGCTCATTCTGTGTATCTTTGGTGGGAAAAGAGGACTGTGCTTAAACCAATAAAAATGTCACAAAGGCGCTGCGGAGCGTCAGGGCGTGCACGCTGCCCAGTGCCCGCCAAGTGTGGCCCGATGGGTCGGCAGAGCCGGGCTGACGCGAACAGGTTAGGGGGTAGTCCACTCTCAGGCTGCAAACTCTCGCGTGCACCCAAATAGTATCTGTGACTCACTGCTTATTCATTCAGCCAAGAGAGCCGGGGAAGGCAGAGGGCTGCGAGCCACTTTGTCACAACAAATGCTCTTGCAAGTGCCTCTGAGTTTCTGCGTCTCGGGGTCCCTGAAATTCAAGGGCTTGACAAAGGTGCGTGTGCATGCACACGCTGGGGGTGGCAGGGGGAGAGCCCAGGAGAAAGGGGAGAAAGCAAGTCATGAACCGATTCAAAGCTCCAAATTAAAGGGTTTTCACGGGCTTCTTTACTGGCAGCTGAGGACATTTCAGTGAAGTTGAGTCATGCGCCGTGAGTGAGTCACACAGTTGGGCTGCTTGCTGAGAGGCCGCACACGGCCACCTCCCCGGCTGCGTTTCCTCCGGGCCGCGAGCAAGCGGAGGAAGCAATATTTGTAGAATAACAGTAAAAAGGTCTTCCTGCCTTGACGCGCCGTCCATGTCCCCTCCGCACGATGACCGTGTCCTATTCCATCAGCCCAGGGAGGCCAAGTCAGGGGCTTTTAAACATGTCGCCAGGCAGTGCGTTGGATTTGGGGGCAGAGGGCGGGCCTGCCTGTCCCCTCACTGGTCAGGCAGCAGAGATAATAAGGGGACCCGGTGACCTGCACAGACACCAGGGAAGGGAGGGGGCCGGCCCCTAGCGCAGCCCCACAGCCCTGGGCCAGGGACGGTCACCCGCCCAGCCCAGGCGGGGACGAGGGGCAGTTAGCTTCCAAGGGGGCAGAGCGGGGCAGTCCCCAGGACCTCACCCTGCCTCAGAAGGGCTCATGACAAACGGTGTTTCCGTTCCATTCTCTCAGAAAAGGAACTCAGGGCCTTTTATAACCTCTAACTCGATAATGCAATAGGAAGATTTAATTTCAGAGAAACCAAAGTGGAATCTTGGCAATTTCCCTGTGAAGTGTATCAAGGGGACCCATCGACGGGGTGGTTTCCATGGTCTGGATTAGCGCCACTCCCTCGAGCTCGGGAGGTGACAGGTGCCATCGCTGTGGGCAGCCTATGGGCATCGCCTCGGCGCCGGAGGCCAGCACGGCCCCCACGCTCTCCCCCACGGCACCCTCCCTGAGCCCCTAACCCCGTGTCCACAGCCCGGCCATTGGCCTGCCAGGACCCCTTCCCCGTTGCCTGATGTCTGCGGCGTGTGCTCCCTCCCAGCTGCAGCCATGAGCAGGAGGGGAAAACACTCGGTATTCTCTCCAGGGCAGCGCTTGATCAGTCCCGGCAATTCTCACCGAAGGAAACCCAGACCCGCTCTGGGGGAGGTGCCCCTGTGGAAATTGGGGGGAAAGAGAGGCATGGGCCCAGCCTCTGGGACAGCCTGAGAGGCTGGCGTGCAAAGCAAACGTGGTCTACCGTGGCGCACACCACGCGCCGCTCTTGCTCCGTCCGCGGAGGCCAGGAGATAAGTTGAAATCACAATTCCCTGGAGTGATATCCCCCGGCGTTGTGGCGTGACCCTCTTGCCGAACCCCCACGCTGGCCCCCTCGCAAGGCGTGACGTGTTGCCCCAAAGACTGTGGCGGGTGTGGAGAGGAAAACGGTGGCACAGACGTAGTTTTGCAAAATGCCTCAGATAGCCTTGCTCTTAGAAGTGGCTTAGTGGTCTATGCAAAGCCTGAATGCTAATATGCCTCCAGGTTCCTAGAACCACAGGCAGAAATCTCGGCAGGGCTGACGCACCACAGCCGGCTCGGAGGCGTCCCTCAAAGGGAATGACGGGGCGTGCACGCGGCTGGGTGTGGGAAGCGGCGTCTCTGCAAGGGCAGTTTGCCCGTATCTTCAGAAATGTCCTTACGAAGGCACTTCTGGCTCAGCCCGAGGCCCAAGAGTACAGAGCCATGTAGACAAAGCCGGGTATTGTACACAGAGGGAAATCTGTATGATTTTGGAGGCCACCCTAACAAAGTACCGCCGCCTGGGTGGCTTCAACAATAGAAACGTATTGTCTCAGGGTCCTGGAGGCCAGACGTCTTACGGAGAGTCCTGCGGCAGCTTTGTGATAGTGCAGGCTTCCAGGTGCTGGGAAGGCTGGTTTCTGCCGAGGCCCCTCTCCTTGGTGGGTCGGTGGCTGTCTTCTCTCTGCGTCCTAACCTCCTCTTCTTGTGAGGACGCCTATCTCCTCGGACCAGGGGCCACTCATGGAGTGACTTCATGACCTCTGTGAAAAGCCCGTCTCTGAATACGGTCTCATGCTGATACACTAGGGCTTAGGCCTTCAACGCACAACTTTAGGGACAGACACAGTTCAACCCACTTCCTGCCGTCTTTGCAAATCCGAGCGCCCCCGGCCCACGGGGCCGCCGCGCTCCTCCTGGGTGCCATCCTGAAGGCGGGAGGATCCGCCCCCAGCCCCCTGCAACGCGGAGCTTCGCATTCTGACACTGCCTGCACATTTATTTGGAAACTAAGAAAAAAAAAAAAGGTGTTAAAAATCTATCTAAACTCATGATACCCTTTGCCATGCAGTACCTTTACGTGCTAAGAAGCCTTTGAAAATGACAAAGCAATTTGGAAATGCTTAAGTTGTAAAAGAGCAAAAAGCCATCCCCAAAAGGAGCCACCACCCTGGCTCCATCTCCTCCTGCGACATTGTCCCTGTAACTCAGGACCCACCCAAGATGCACTCAGCCACTGGGGCAGGCCATGGCGGGGGTGGGGTGGGGAGAGTCAGCCACCGGAGGCCTCACACCTGCGCCCACACCCAGGGCGGCAGCCACGGGAGCAGCCAGGAGCGCAGCGTCTTCCGAAGTGGCAGCTGACCCAGGAACCAACGGGCAGGAAGCCCTTGGGAGGGTTGGAAGCGAACGAGCAGCCAAGAGGTCCCTCTGCTCGGAATACATCTGAAACGTGCGCTCCGGAAAGGTCTGCCCCTCGGCTGAGGCAGGGAGGCCGGGGCTCATGCTGGGCAGAGCGGGGCTCCAGGGGACAAAGAGCCTGTCCCGGAGAAACCAGGGCTTGGTGGGTGTCCATCGGGGTGGGGGGGGCGGACGTTCCCAGGAGCAGCCAGCACTCGCCAAGGGCAGGCAGAGGCGGGCGGTCTGCACGGGACAGCAGCCGAGAGCGCGGCAGCGCCTTCCCGTCCTTGTCCCATCTCCTGGCTCTAGTCACGCAGCTGCCCTCTTGGGCCTCAGTTTCCCTGTCTGTAGTGACTGTCGTTAACGTAGGTGCACGGACAAACTGCGTGGCCCGGGCTGAGTGCTTGCGCGCAGGCGCCAGCGTTGGGCAGCACAGAGCGGCCCCAGCTCTCAGTGCTCGGTTCTCCGAGGGGGCACGTGGTCGCTCTCGGTCCGCGCTAGGGAGGGAGAAGCCACAGGGCCCAGGAGGCCAGCGGGAGGCCCCCTGGGGAAGGCGACACAGGGCTCGGGAAGGAGATGGTGTGATGGGTGGACGGCTGAGGAGAGGGAAGAGTCCTTGAGGCGGGGGAAGAGCCTGGCGGCAGGCAGGGCAGCTGGGACCCCGGTGGGACGTGGGCAGGTGGTGAGTAAACCCGCCCACGTGGTGGCTTTTCAACCTCTCCTCGTAAGTGTCCACGAGGGAGAGGGAGAGGGAGAGGGAGAGGGAGAGGGGCCCCGGGTGCAGCGCGGCAGGTTCAGCTTTTACACATGAAAGCTAATTGGGGCGTGGGCAGCGGGTGCGTCCCAGGTGTCTCTCCTGGTTGAGGGTCGCGGCGAAGCTTGCTTTTCCTGAAGGGGCTTCTTCATCCAAAGCCCTTTCTCCCACTGAACCCCCCGCCGGTTCTCCAGGCCCTGAGGGGTGGCCGGTCGCCGGGCTTCTCTGCGACATTTCGGATCAGGACCGCGTCGAAGCCCGGAAATGCAGGTGGCCTGGGCTGCTTGTCTTGTTGCTCGGGGGAGCGGAGGCCCGCACAGGAAACTCAGGCCAACTTTTCAGCTTCACAGGTAACTTCTAGTGACCTAGATGAGTCATTC